ACGGTCAATACAAAGTCCAGTTTAAAAAAATTATTCTACAAGTTCATCGCAGTCGAGTTACTTTCTCATGGAGACTACATCGACTGCCTTGCGCCTAGGCTGCCTCAATGCCACTTCAATGTCGCACGATTCACGCTCGCACAGCGCCCGAGATGCGTCATTACGGCGTCCTGGCCAGGGCGCAGAGGTGTTGCGATTGTTTTGAGCATGTTCAAAGACCTTGGCGCTCATCGGAGACCATAAAGACCCTCTGGCGCCCATCTGGCGACCTATGTAGTAGTCGCTGCGATGTAGTAGTTGTTTTTGCGCCCTAGCTATTTTTCAAGGACGCAGTGAGAGAGCATATAAGATCGCAGACAGTGTGACAGGGCCTTTAGTTATCATGTTTTGTACAAAAGAAGCACACTGCGCGCACACGCACCTGATGGCGTTAAAACACAGTTGTAATCTTCCTACGAAGATGGCTGTCTATCAGTGTTGGAGGTCTCGACCAAAGTCTTGGTCTCGAGACTAGTCTTGAGACCTTTTTTTTTCAGGTCTCGACAACTTTGAGGTCGCGATCTCGGTCTCGGTCTCGGATGGGAAAGTCCCGGTCTTGGTCTCGGTCTCGGACTATGAGGTCTCGGTCTCGGTCTCGGTCTCGGATGGGGAAGTCTCGGTCTTGGTCTCGGTCTCGGACTTTGAGGTCTTGACTCCGACACTGCTGTCTATGAGAGGGTTCTATTGGTGCTAGTAGATACAGGACGTGTACCGTACAGTGAATCGTCCGATCACAGAGCAAGGTATGGTCCGACATCATGAACACTCAAGTTGGTGGCAAGCACGTCATCCAAGATGGACTCCTATTTACGGCTGGAAATACGCATGCGTATGCCACAAAATGTCCGCAGCATCAAAAGTAAACAACCGATTTTTGGGAGTGTTCGGGCAAAGCCCTAACAAATAATGTTTTTGAAATCGTTGGGATTTTCTTTCTTTTTTTCTGGTCGATAATTTAAATTTTGGGTTTTCTCCTAAACGGTACATGCTGTAAACCTGTATCTTTGAACATAAACGACCCTGATCTAAACTTGACTCAAGTCGGCATTGCTTTAAGTCGGTATCACAAAATATCTTAGGTTTAAACTTCTTTCCAGAAGAACGACAAGTAACACTTCAGCACGCGTTCCACTTTAGTGCCGTTGTAGCATGAATGTCCGACTCCATGAAATGTGGACTCATTGGTAGTATTGCGCATGCGTAAGTACGATAATATGCTATTAATTTTTAGAATCATATGGGAGAGTGACCTGTCGCGTGCGGGGGATTAATCAATGATTGGGAAAAGGGGTCCGATTATCATAGGAGTCGGATTTTCATATAACACCGTATAACAATGCGCACACACTGTATGTTGCTGCAGCACATAAAAATAAAGTTCGTTTTAACATGTTGGTCTGGATTTGACGCATGAGGGCGCAATATGGTACGGCGTGTATGCGCACATTTTAGATACAGACCGCGCGCAACCCAGACTTGGCCAAGTCTAACCCTGATCCCCAGTGGTGAATATCACTCTTACGTCAAGATGACGTTATCAGGTATCAAATGACAAGCGATTTTTGTTGAAAAGGTGACCAATTTCCCTCACTTATAACTCTTGTACGACTTAATGATCCATCATATTCATACTTTGTGATCAGATAGACCATTATACATTTTCTTTTGTGCACATGAACTCCAGGTCTATCGGAAGGTCAAAGTTCGGTGAATTTAATATGCAGACAGAAGCCGCCAAATGAAAACCAATCAAATTTCTTCCAAACGATTTACGGGATTATGATAAAGCCTAGTATAAACTTCAAACCCATCCGAAGATGTAAAACAAACAATGGGACGTCAATATGACGTCATCAGGTATTAAGTTACAAGCAATATGGTTACAGTTTGTGTAACTTATTACTTTAAACTTTAATTGTTCGAATGACTGCAGAACCGTTCACATTGTTTGTGATCAATTAGACATTGCCTTGGGCAATATTTTGGATGCCGAGGTACAAAGCCGTTTAACCTTTACTTCGGGTGTTATCCGAAGCGCAATGATAATTGAATAGAAGTTGAAAACGGAAGCATTTTACTAAACATTATGGACGTGCTTAGTGAAGAACGCCAAACACAAGAAACAGTAGGATGATGTCATCGTACGAAAAAGCGCCCTCTAGCGGCAAAGCAAAGACATTGAACTTTTTCGAATTTAAAAACTTTTCCTCAAAGTTGTCAATATTTTTTAACAATCGTAAATGGCCTTGCAAAGTTTCAGAATCATGAAGTCTTCAGACTGAAAGATTGTAGGGAGAAATCAAAAATGGTGAGGTTTTTTGTTTTGTTTTTATTTAAATCCATCATTTTGACAGATAATGATATCAGGTTCAATGTTGATCTTGGGAGTCAAATGCTGTGACGTTATCAAACCGGAAGTTCAGCGTTATTTCAATAAATGTAACGTACATTTGCGTGTCATATAGTCATACTAGGTCACGTGTTTCATGTATCTCTGAATTAAAACAATTTTGATGTTTTACATTATGAGTGATGACGTCATCAAACCGGAAAGAGCGTGTATGTGTAAATCAAATCTATGCTGAATTCGTTCACACGCTAAATGGTTAGATTGGTTAGGGAGTCAGGTTGGCGCAGTGGTTACTGTCCTCGCCTTCCACCGCTATGACCCGGGTTCGATTCCTGTCCTGGTCAATATGTGGATTGGGTTTTCAGTCCCTACCTGATTCCGTGCGTTTCCCCCAGAATATTCTTCTGGGGTTTTCCTCCCACCTCTAAAACTGTCATTCTTCTAATTGTCTTCTCTTTATAGGTTCCTTCAGGCTTGCGAGCTACAGTGCCTAGGGCACTTTTGAGGAATCCTTGGTTTCATTTAAGAAAGAAAGCTATCGTCACCAAACTGGAAGTTAATGTGTAAATATAACTTTTATCAACATCGTTTGGCCTAATAGTTAAAGTTTGTACATACATGTAGACTATGTGCTTTTTCAAAATTTCGATTTTCTTTTCCAAACAAGATTTAAAGGAATATAATGTCCTGTTACAAATAAATAAGCATTTTTTTTTTCTTTTTGGCAGGTCTTTATGCAACTTTAAAAAGTGGTTTAAATGGCGCGCTCCAGCTCAGAAATTGTGCACAGTATTCAGAAAGAATTAAGAGCGTCCCGCTCTTAATTCAAAAGGTGAAATTAATTAATTGATTGCTAGTCGTTTGGCCAATTATTTCATGCGATGTCTTATTGGAAAACTCATAACTGATGTAATGATACAAAATTATCAATTCAATTTAAAAATCTATTTGTTAAGGTGCCAAACCCAGTAAGCACGTACACACCAACTTTAAAATGAGGTAGGAGTTACGTTCCACGGGCGAATTTGAACATAAACAATCCCATACTCGAACACCTAGTGTTTGTTTCCGTACAAGCCCTAAATTTCTCTCTCAGGAGCAGTGAGACACTATGTTAGTCTCCTCTCAACTAGACCTTCGAAATAAGATAAGTAAATAATCTAATACATAACATTTCGGCAATTTTAGGACGATGTTCCCCCTTTAAAAATGATTTGCATTTTATGACTGAGTACCGGTGTCGTATTTCACGGACTCCGTTCGCATTTATGGCACACCGCAGTTTGGACAAAGGCCTTTCCCATGGGCGTCGCGAGGGGGGGGGGGGGGGCTTTTCCTGTAAATTTTCAGAATGATGAGATTGATTTGCAGGTTAACCTCGACTTCTAACCAGGGAGGTAAGGTAAGGATCATTTTATTGACAACCATTAAAGGGTTGGATTTGTTATAAATTACAACATCTAAAAGTGATGCATATCAACTTTTAAACAACAAAAACAATATTAACTTAATCTGAAACTAAGGTTGGTACAAATAAACACTAATATTTAAATATGAGCAGTTATATTACAAGATTAAATGGATTCTTGACCGTCAAAACTATAAAATAAGTTATTATAGTATACAATCAAAATCATTTTAAAAACATGTACATGTACTTCATTTACGCCGGGTAGAAAAACAACGCGACAAGCACCAACCGTACAAAGTTCAACAAGGACGAACAAACGAACAATAAAATAAATAACAAACAAATAAACAAACAACCCCAACAACCCTACAAACAAACAACCAGCAAAGGACAAACGACCAAAACAGGAAAGACAATCAAACAAACAGACAGACACAGCAACAAAGAAACAGACAGACTAACAGGAAGACAACAAAACACCTTCATGATCAGTCACACACTAAGCAAGCTTGGATTACCGAACATGGAATCATGTTACTAGAAATAGGTTCAAGAACATTTACAATTAAAAAAAATGTTGGGAGTACACTGGAAACAATACCCACTAAAACAAATAAAAGCCCACTCAAACTTGTGAAATAAGCAATTCCTTCTTGTGCGTTATCTCTTCTCTTTAGTCAGATGTCGAATTACAAAGATATAGCCTTGTCAACTTGTTACGGACGTACCCATGACATTGTTATCAGCAAAAGTGGGAATACTCAAAGTTTGGTTTTAAATAAGGCCCCATGTCTACAGTTGCCATATTAGCACCGGTGACGTGGGTGGTTGGTGATTTGGAGGTTGTGCTTGATATTTTATTCTTATATGTTGGCCCTTGCTTTTAATTGTTTGATTTTGTTCATCTCTTCCGTGGACCTATTTTGATTGGTTAATGGTGACTGATCAGGAAACGTCAGAGCAATTGTTGTTGGCTGGACGTGATAAGACAACTTGGGATGTTCACGAGACAGTGACTGATGCAAGACTAGTGCTGCTTATAAAACAGTCCGTGTTAGTTACAGACGTACAGATATCCAAAGGCACGAACCTACAACGGGTTACCATTTCAATTCCCCATTGTGAATTTTTAAGAGCTACTTTTCTAAGATACTGGTGAAAAGAAGTCTGTAGTGTACGCGTATAAGTGGCAGAAAAAATATGGAGATTGTCACAACAACCCCACTGCCTGAACTGAACAGCATCACTGAAAGTGAGAATATTTTTGGTCTCAATTCTGAAGTCAACATTTGGAATGATTCCTGTCCAGTCCTCACCATACCAGCAGAATTTGTCCACAAGTACCTCTACTCCTCTGTTGATGTAGTCCTGACTACTATTCTGATGCCAATTGCGATCTGCCTGGGCTGTCTTCTTAACGGCAGTTTCTTGTACGTAGTGGCCAGCATTCAGTCAATGCAAACTACTACCAACTTCTACTTAGCTAACTTAGCCGTGTGTGACGGGTTGTATCTTCTATCTACATCCTACGAGATACGTTCTTACATAGTGTCAGGCACCGTGTCACGCAACGCAGTACAAGATGGCGACATCTCGTGCGTGATACTAGTCTTGCAAACATTGTTCTACGTAGCCTCCTTGGCATTCATCACACTAGTCACGATGGAGCGATTCTTTGGCATCTGCTATCCGATAAAGAGCCTGGCTCTCAACCGCCGCAGACGTACCGTCAAGCTAGCAGTGGGTGCCTGTATTATTTTGCAAGTTCAATCAAGCTAAAGACCATTGTACGAAAACAACAGTTCTCTCTTTTTTATGTCTATTTCTTGAAACACGAGGACTTAAACTAACCTTAGCCTATCTCCTAGTCTGGATAAACAAAGTTTCGGTATAGCAATTTAGTGACTAAATAAAGTAGACGTTTGCGTAAGCATCCAAAGCAAAAACTCCTTTTATTAGATACATCATTACTTTATGCAGTCTTAGTATTGAAATAGACGAATACTTTAATGTACAACGTACACCTCATCTATATCTGCTTCGGATTGTGAAAAAGGACGGGTAACATTATGTACGTCATCGTTATGTTCGCATTCAATGTATCATCCACTAACCGAGCAGACTGCACCAATACTTGGTCATGCACATGTATATTACAGCGTAATGTGTAGAACAAAATCACCCTCATTCAAATTAAAACGTTTTTGACGGTGGTAATAATGTTAGTGTTAGTTTTCATGATTAGTTTTATCATGCAGGAATGTAATCTAGCAGTTCATATCAGATAACACAGACTGAACAAGACATTGTTTTATTTTTTACTTTTTGTAACCGATTTTTTTTACGTGGTCTTAGAAGAGAACAAAACATCATTGCACGGTATATAGGCCTTATAAGTTGTTTATAATTAAATAGTATCGTGTGCATTTTCCATGGAACGAGTCTTAATCGGACATTTTAGTGACACAACCCAATTGTTCGCACACGCCAAGATTGAGACAATAATAATGTAGTATCTAGTTGTTTGTTGTGCGGCGCAATGTTGTGTATAACAATGTATACAGGATATATTTGTGTAGATAGGCCTATCTGTCTGGTTTCATCCCCCAAGTGACGACCCAGATGTGAATTTATTTTATTATGCATTTTCGAACCGAATCCACACGTTTCAGTGTGATCTATTTTAATGAGGTCATATAAAACACGTATACATCCGCTTCAATGGGATACGCCATCTTCTGTTTCTTTCTTTAGTATTTCCTCATTGCCCAGATTTAAAACACGCAGAGTCTCTATCTTTTTGACCACGGATTGTAAATACACAGCAAAATGTTTAATAAGAGATAAATAGCGTAACTTTTATGATAAATTAACATTTTAAATCGATATATACATGTATATCAATATCTCTAGGGCCACGCATTCAGCTTGATCACAGCAATGATGTAGTCACACTTACAATGTCCGTTTATAGAGTTATTTGAAATCCACAATAACTGTGTGTCAGATACAATAAGTGATGTTCTTAATTGTTAAATTTGTTCTTTGCTGTATGATACTTCGCCCTAAGGCAAACATTTTTGCCATATCCTCTGTTCCCACTGTGTCATTTAGAGTGACTAAAATATACGTTTCCTTGCCTCTGTCAGTGATCGTGATTAAGTACCCCCGGTTCTCCATAGCATTTTCAACAATGGATAGTTTTAACAAGAAAATGTGTAACTTGCGATACGTCATGTAACAATAAGATACAATCCTGCGCCTACATTGCAGTAATACAATCCCATGTGAGACGACGATGTGTCCTATTCAACAAAATGTGTCATTGTCTCGTTGGTAAAAATACGATACCAGTTTTTGATGACATTCTATAAACCTTTACAATTTTTATTTCTAAGGAGTCGGTGCACAGTTATCAGATTCACTGTCATTTATCATTAAAGGCTTAAATTTTAAAGTTAATTTAAAATCCATCATTATTTCGTTTTTAGTTGTTTTCAAACGTGTGTTCAAGAACATAATACGCCAACACACAATCAAACGAACAACTACACATGATCTGGTATTTGACGCCGTATGGGAAAAATGTGACGAATGGGGCTTGGCATTGATAACGTTTTCCAAGTGCCAACTGATAACGGTGAACTTTCCTTGAATTGATCCAGCAATATTTGCTTAAAAACAAAACATATTCGAATCTCACAGAAATAACTTTAATTTGAGAGACTTCACACAATCTCCTTTTTGATAAGAATAGTGGGCTTGATTTCAAAGATGGGAATTCCATGAATTGTAAAGCGCTTTGAGATTGTTGATACGATGGAAAGCGCTATATCAGCATAACATCTTTTTTGTTTAAATGGGAATTGCATGAATTTCGTCTGATTTCTGTATAAGACAACCGTTAGTTACGGACAAGACTTATGGCTTGGGTCTTTATTGGTGTATATCATCACATTTTTCAAACGGTAACGGTTTACAATAGCCATGTGGCAACATTAAGCTACATAATGATCGACATCCACAGGGTGTATAGAACAAACGGTGAAGTGGCTTGCTTCTGTCTGTATTCTCCCCCAATAGTTCCCTCTAACTTTGGAGCCAATCTCAAATGGTATGCCGTCCAATATCGGCGGGTCAGGGTCCAAATAATTCCTTAAAGAAGGATAAAAAAAAAAGAGAAAGAAAACGGGTTTTTTTCTATTATAATACACAGGCTGCAAAACACGTCTTATAAATGTAGGACCATTTTTCTGTCCGATTATAACAACCAATACAGTAACCTCATTATATCAAGGCAGTTTGTTGCTTCTAATTTTACATTTTCGGACACCTGTATTCACGTCATATTTATTAAAGAAAGCATTGTTGTTTTCAATTAAATCCAAGCTGGTGAACAAGAATAACCAGTGTTTGACAAACGTATCCATTTAACTTTTAAACTTCAAGACTTAACAGCGTAACATATCAGTTGAAACCCTATCATGAGTCGGAGTGTGGAATTATGAGCCAAATCAAGCAACGCATTGTAGATTGATCAGTAATATTAATGCATGCTAGACTTGAAATCAAGTCTAGCCTACAAGCCTACAAAGGCTCGAAACCCTAACAATCGCATGTCGTTCATATCTGTGTCCTTTGTTAGATTTAAGGAAAGGTCACACGTTCACTGAATCAGGTAGCTTTATATGAGGTAGGAAGTTTATAAAGTTTTGAGTTTAAATCCTTATTATAAATTTGACTTCCGATTTACAAGCACATCTTGGTGTGTTGTTGATCAACAAGTGGAAGGACACTGTTTGACCAAAGGGGGCGCTGTTCAAAGCGGATGAGACTGGACACTTTCGGACAACGGGCGGCGCTATTCGTTACAGTATATCATGCCCACTGCGAAGCACAATTTTTTTTTTTTTTCAATGAAAGATGATGTCTCAAAACCGCCAAACGCACTGGTTTGACTGGAATCCTGCTGCTGCACAATTTTAACGTGTTTTTAGATGGGGTTATGGTCGAGAATAAGCTTTATGTGGCCTCTCTGGACTCGCATATATTTCCACTAAGTTTAGTCGGGCACCATTTGCAGTCATCAGCCGACATTTGAAGCTAAACAATCAGGTAAAAAAAAAAAAAGCCGCGTTGCCGCACCACTTTTTGGGCAAGCTCCATACCAAAAACCGGAGACTTTTTTTTTTTGGCCTTATGATGTCATTATTTTGTTACGTTCCGGTCACCACAAAATTTCGTCTCATCATTTTCATTTTTGGCATAACTTCAATACTTCTTTTCTTGCAAGTGCATGCTTCCGAACTTGGAAAAGATATTATCCATTCATTGTTCATCAAACTAGCCATGAATAAGTTCATGGTGTCAACTTCTTTTCCTCGATTCCTGAATAATGGCTCAACGGCGGAACCGGCGGGCTGTCCCCCCCCCCCCCCCCCACCCAGATTTTCCCAGGCCAACAAAAGTGCCTCTCTCGCGGTCATAATGTGCCCCTCAAGATGAAAACAAAACTGCCCCTCAAACGCACACATGAAAATTTGTCTCCTCTCTTGTGCGAAAGTGGCCCTCAAAAACACAAATACCCCTCCCGCATTTACAAGATTGTGAACCTTCTCGAGATAGAAAACTTTCCCCCGAAGGAACAAACACCCCTCTCGCAATAATTAAATTGTGCTCCTCTCGAGATGGGAAATTGACCATCAAAAACAAAAGTGCTCCTCACGCGAATAAAATGCTTACTAAACTGCATGGCCATCAGAAGCAACAGTGCCCCCTCTCAGGATTAAAAAAGGTCCCTATGCATAACTAGTCAAATTCTACGGTGGACCCAGAGAGGCTACTGCCGGGGGTGTGCCGGAGGCCGAAGGGCTCTCTCTCTCTCTCTCAAGTGAAAAATATCTTACTTGAGAACAATACGACTATATTGAGAGTATTTTAGGAATAATTATACACTGTAATTGTTTGAGTAAGGTAATGAAGATTTTCTTAAAAAACATTTACGCAAAAATTTTTAAAAGTGTATTTATCATATGTTGTTCGGGGTAACATGTATTCCTTGCAATGTGAACAAAAATAGTCCCACAATATTGTCTCCTCTTTGACACGGACGGAAGGTGCCTTTTTTTCTGAGCAATTGCCCCTTTTTGGTGATGCCCCCCCCCCCCCCCTCAGTTTGAACAGCGTTTTCCGCCGCCGCTGTCCCTATTAGTTTCATGAAGCGCAGAGCTGAAGTTCGTTCATTATTGGAGACGGAAGCGAATTATAAAATTATGTGAAACTTGAAAGTTGTTGACTTTTTGTACTACATATTATAGTCCAACTGTAGAGCATACATGTCCCGTGCTCAAATATGTCCAAATATTTTCCTTTTCAAACGTGCATACGTGTGTACACCTAGTAGTGACTATTATATACAGTGGCGGTTCTATCTACGAGGGTGCTGAGAGGCTTTAGCCCCCCCCCCCCCCCCCAAATATTGGCTCTAGAACCGCGCCTGATTATATAGTCTTGGTCTCAGACTTATTAATCGTGTAGGTATGTCTTTCTAGCGCCGCGGCGACCTGACCGCGTTTGTCAGGGATCGGAACCGGCTGCATTGAGGGGGGACATCAAATGTAGTCTTGGATCAAGACATACGTAATTCCAACCGTGTCCATTCAATGTACGCTGTACTTGTGTGTCCACCAATACACAAATAATGTTTCTCGCACGTCCGCAGAATGCGATGCACAGTGCGGCAGGATTCACAACTAGCTCTCAACAGCTCGATTTTTAAGAGTCAAAATTTTGACCCCCGAAATTCGTTCTCGCATGTTTCGCGCAAGAATAACACAAAAACGCCCAGTTTTTAAAAGGGCGTTAATATCCTAGTTTTAAATGCTCTTTCCAATTAATATCATTTCGAACCATTATTAAACGCATTTTGTAGCCCAATTTGGGGTAATATCCTGTTAATGCTGGCCCGGCCCGAGGGAAATCGCGCAAAATAGGGTCTAAAAGAGCAACGCATCCTGGAAAGCGCCGAAAATATTTGACTCTGATCTATCGAGCAGATATTCGTGATTCCAGTCGCAACGATATCTTTATAGCGTTGATTAAAGGAGTATTGTTCCTCAGTCGCTGCGTCATCGTGACAAAATGAAGACTTGGACGCTTGTAGGGGTCTACTATACTTTGGGTACAATGGCGTATGGCGTTTTACTCTAAATATCTGCACACTTATTTGCCTACGATGCCCAAAATGTCTGGATATACGCAAATGATCCAATACCAGGGTAAAAGACCAGGTAGTGGTGGGAGCGTACTGCTCGATAGCATGGGAACGAGGTTGTTGTCCGTTGAATGATTCTAGCCTTTTGGTATTTCAGTTTGTTCTCTTTGGGTTTGTATGATTTGCAGGGCCGTTTCCCGTACCCAGCCTCAGAATTTGGAGAAGACCAAAATGCTCCCTCCTGAAAACGAGTACCTCAAATTAGAACGTTACTTTAATACGTCGTCAACTCGCCGTTTTTCATCTAATGGGCGGAAGTCTAGATAAACATCAATGCGAATGTGCGAGCTTAGCTTTTGAGGTCAAGGTTCGCTAATTGATGCTTTCAAAATATTTGACCTATTTTTCAAAACGAACTGGATGATCAAGAAGAAGTGAAATAATGGATTTCTGTTGACTCACTGAAGTGTGTAAATAATTAATATTTAAATATGACCAGTTATATTACAAGATTAAATGGAATCTTGACCGTCAAAACTATCAAAATAAGTTATTATTGTATACAATCAAAATCATTTTAAAAACATGTACATGTACTTCATTTACGCCGGGTAAAAAAAAGAACATGACAAGCCGGTGTCATATGAAAATCGGACTCGTATGAAAACCGGACTCTTTTTCCCTTTTATTGGATAAACCCTCTCACGTGATGGGTCCCTCTCCTAATTATCTATGCATGAGCATGTGCAATATCACCAATGAGTCCGTATTTCATAAAACCTAAATTCATGCTACACCGGCACCAACCGTACAAAGTTCAACAAGGACGAACAAACGAACAATAAAATAAATAACAAACAAATAAACAAACAACCCCAACAACCCTACAAACAAACAACCAGCAAAGGACAAACGACCAAAACAGGAAAGACAATCAAACAAACAGACAGACACAGCAACAAAGAAACAGACAGACTAACAGGAAGCCAAGAAAACACCTTCATGATCAGTCACACACTAAGCAAGCTTTGGATTACCGAACATGGAAGCATGTTACTAGAAATAGGTTCAAGAACATTAACAATTAAAAAAAAAATGTTGGGAGTACACTAGAAACAATACCCACTAAAACAAATAAAAGCCCACTAAAACTTAAATTGTGAAATAAGCAATTCCTTCTTGTGCGTTACCTCTTCTTTTTAGTCAGATGTCGAATTACAAAGATATAGCCTTGTCAACTATACAGACGTTCCCATGACATTGTTATCAGCAAAAGTGGGAATACTCAAAGTTTGGTTTTAAAAAAAGACCCCATGTCTACAGTTGCCATATTAGCACCGGTGACGTGGGTGGTTGGTGATTTGGAGGTTGTGCTTGATATTTTATTCTTATATGTTGGCCCTTGCTTTTAATTGTTTGATTTTGTTCATCTCTTCCGTGGATCTATTTTGATTGGTTAATGGTGACTGATCAGGAAACGTCTGAGCAATTTTTATTGGCTGGACGTGATAAGACAACTTGGGATGGTCACGAGACAGTGACTGATGCAAGACTAGTGCTGCTTATAAAACAGTCCGTGTTAGTTACAGACGCACAGATCTGAGGCACGAACCTACAACGGGTTACAATTTCAATTCCCCATTGTGAATTTTTAAGAGCTACTTTTCTAAGATAATTGTGAAAAGAAGTTTGTAGTGTACGCGTATAAGTGGCCAAAAAATGGAGATTGTCACAACAACCCCACTGCCTGAACTGTACAGCATCACTGAAAGTGAGACTACTTTTGGCCTCAATTCTGAAGTCAATATTTGGAATGATTCCTGTCCAGTCCTCACCATACCAGCAGAATTTGTCCACAAGTACCTCTACTCCTCTGTTGATGTAGTCCTGACTACTATTCTGATGCCGATTGCGATCTGCCTGGGCTGTCTTCTTAACGGCGGTTTCTTGTACGTTGTGGCCAGCATTCAGTCAATGCAAACTACTACCAACTTCTACTTAGCTAACTTAGCCGTGTGTGACGGGTTGTATCTTCTATCTACATCCTACGCGATACGTTCTTACATAGTGTCAGGCACCGTGTCACGCAACGCAGTACAAGATGGCGACATCTCGTGCGTGATACTAGTCTTGCAAACATTGTTCTACGTAGCCTCCTTGGCATTCATCACACTAGTCACGATGGAGCGATTCTTTGGCATCTGCTATCCGATAAAGAGCCTGGCTCTCAACCGTCGCAGACGTACCGTCAAGCTAGCAGTTGGTGCCTGGCTGATCTCCCTGGCTGTTGGGTTTCTGTACACCATGCCGTACATGTATGTGGAGAAGATCTGCATCAACTGGCCTGACGAGGAACGTTTCGCTGACTTACCGAAGGTGGTAGGATGGTGTACTGGGTCTCTCATTCCGAAGCGTTTCACCATCTTTCCAATCATCATACGTGGCTGTAAAGCGCTTACTTTCGGCATACCATTCATCCTGTGTACCATCATGTGCATCAAGATCGTCGCGGCGCTTGGTAAGAGGCCCCTTCCAAAGAGTCAAGCGGAACGGGCTCGTCTCCATGTCACCAGAATGCTGCTCGTCAACAATACGGTGTTCTTCATTTGCAACATCCCGAGCACCGTCTTGCACATCTGTGTAATCTCTGCTCTATTTGTCGGGACATCGATAGTCCCTGAAGAGGTCATTACTACAATGATCCAGACGGCTATTGCCTGTACCCTGATCAACTCAGCAGTCAACCCCATCATCTACAACGCCAGCAACCCCCGCTATCGGCAGGCGTTTTGCCAGGCCTTCACGACGTGTCTCTGCTCTCGGCGCGATGGCAAAGGCGGACAGCAAACCTCTCAGCTATCAACCGTTGATCAGCGAAGACTTGGTACAACATCATCAAAGATAGAAGATGTCTCAGAAAATAAGTAAAGGAATTTTTCTCTCTTATTGTCGTGTTAACTGTATTATTTTGCAAGTTCAATCAAGCTAAAGACCATTGTACGAAAACAACAGTCCTCTCTTTTTTATGTCTATTTCTTGAAACACGAGGACTTAAACTAACCTAAGCCTATCTCCTAGTCTGGATAAACATGGAAAATAAAGTTTCAGAATAGCAATTTAGTGACTAAATAAAGTAGACGTTTGCGTAAGCATCCAAAGCAAAAACTCCTTTTATTGGATACATCTTTACCTCATGCAGTCTTAGTATTAAAATAGACGAATACTTTAATATACAACGTACACCTCATCTTTATCTGCTTCTGATTGTGAAAAAGGACGGGTAACATTATGTACGTCATCGTTATGTTCGCATTCAATGTATCATCCACTAACCGAACAGACTGTACCTATACTTGGCCATGCACATGTATATTACAGCGTAATGTGTAGAAAAAAATCACCCTTATTCAAATTAAAACGTTTTTGACGGTGGTAATAATGTGAGTGTTAGTTTTCATGATTAGTTTTATCATGCAGGAATGTAATCTAGCAGTTCATATCAGATAACACAGACTGAACAAGACAGTATATTATTTTTTACTTTTTTTAACCGATTTTTTTTTTTACGTGGTCTTAGAACAGAACAAATTATCATTGCACGGTATATAGGCCCTATAAGTTGTTTATAATTAAATAGTATCGTGTGCATTTTCCATGGAACGAGTCTTAATCGGACATTTTAGTGACACAACTCAATTTTTCGCACACGGCAAGATTGAGACAATAATAATGTAGTATCTACATGTAGTTGTTTGTTGTGCGACGCAATTTTGTGTATAACAATGTATACAGGATATATTTGTGTAGATGGGCCTATCTGTCTGGTTTCCTCCCCCTAGTGACGACCCAGATGTGAATTTATTTTATTACGCATTTTCGAACCGAATCCACACGTTTCAGTGTGATCTATTTTAATGAAGTCATATAAACACGTATACATCCGCTTCAATGGGATACGCCATCTTCTGTTTCTTTAGTTTTTCCTCATTGCCCAGATTTAAAACACGCAGAATCTCTATCTTTTTGACCACGGATTGTAAATACACAGCAAAATGTTTAATAAGAGATAAAGAGCGTAACTTGTATGAGTAATTAGCATTTTAGATCGATATATACATGTATATCAATATCTCTAGGGCCACGCATTTAGCTTGATCACAGCAATGATGTAGTCACACTTACAATGTCCGTTTAAAGAGTTATTTGAAATCCAGAATAACTGTGTGTCAGATACAATAAGTAATGTTCTTAGTTGTTAAATTTGTTCGTTGCTGTATGATACTTCGCCCTAAGGCAAACATTTTTGCCATATCCTCTGTTCCCACTGCGTCATTTAGAGTAACTGAAATATACGTTTCCTTGCCTCTGTCAGTGATCGTGATTAAGTACCCCCTGTACTCCATAGCATTTTCAACAATGGATAGTTTTAACAAGACAATGTGTAACTTGCGATACGTCATGTAATAATAAGATACAATCCTGCGCCTACATGGCAGTATTAACAATTCCATGTAAGACGACGATGTGTCCTATTCAACAAAACGTGTCATTGTCTCGTTGGTAAAAATGCGATACCAGTTTTTGATGACATTCTATAAACCTTCACAATCTTTATTTCTGAGGGATCGGTGCACAGTTATCAGATTCACTGTCATTTATCATTTAAGGCTTAAATTTTAAAGTTAATTGATTAATTATTTTTGTTCAAAAGTGTGTTCAAGAACATAATACGCCAACACACAATCAAACGAACAACTACACATGATCTGGTATTTGACGCAATCATTAAACTTCATGAACGCCGTATGGGAAAAATGTGACGAATGGGGCTTGGCATTGATAACGTTTTCCAAGTGCCAACTGATAACGGTGAACTTTCCTTGAATTGATCCAGCAATATTTGCTTAAAAACAAAACATATTCGAATCTCACAGAAATAACTTTAATTTGAGAGACTTCACACACAATCTCCTTTAAAGAATAGTGGGCTTGATTTCAAAGACGTAAATGGGAATTCCATGAATTGTAAAGCGCTTTGAGATTGTTGATACAATGGAATTGCATGAATTTCGTCTGATTTCTGTATTAGACAACCGTTAGTTACGGACAAGACTCATGGCTTGGGTTTGTATTGGTGTATATCACCACATTTTTGAACGGTAATGGTGTACAATAACCAAGTGGCAACATTAAGCTACATAATGATCGACATTCACAGGGTGTATAGAACAAACGGCGAAGCGGCTTGCTTCTGTCTGTATTCTCACCAAATAGTTCCCTCTAACTTTGGAGCCAATCTCAAATGGTATGCCGTCCAATATTGGCGGGTAAGGGTCCAAATAATTCCTTAAAGAAGAATAAAAAAAAAGAGAAAGAAAACAGGTTTTTTTTCTATTATAATACACAGGCTGCAAAACACGTCTTATAAATGTAGGACTATTTTCTGTCCATTTATAACAACCAATACAGTAACCTCATTATATCAAGGCAGTTTGTTGCTTCTAATTTTACATTTTCGGACGCCTGTATTCACGTCATATTTATTAAAGAAAGCATATGTTGTTTTCAATGAAATCCAAGCTGGTGAACAAGAATAACCAGTGATTGACAAACGTATCCATTTAACTTTTAAACATGAAGACTTAACAGCGTAACATATCAGTTGAAGCCTATCAAGAGTCGGAGTTTGGGATTATGAGCCAACTCAAGCAACGCATTGTAGATTGATCAGTAATATTAATGCATGCTAGACTTGAAATCAAGTCTAAACTTGAAATCAAGTCTAGCCTACAAGCCTACAAAGGCTCGAAACCCTAAAAATCGCGTGTCGTTCATATCTGTGTCCTTTGTTAGTTTTAAGGAAAGGTCACACGTTCACTCCATCAGGTAGCTTTATAAAAGGACGCACAGACTACGACCCACAGATTTGCCGACAGCGTACAGGTACACGATTTTGCCGATAAAAACGAAAAATCATGGGTCGTGGAACCCACTCTCCCCGGCCCCCCCCCCCCCCCCCTCCTACTCTAGCGAAGTCCCTGCATCTGCGCCCTGGCGAAGTTGTAATCACGCTGTCATGCTAACTGGCACCGTAATAGCGCCCTCTGCCAGCTAAAGTTGAACAAGGCAGACAGCTTTGGGAAGTGACACAAACGTTGGAACTCGTACACCTGGGGAGGAGGAAGGAAGAATCAATCTTCTGAATACAGGGCCAGTGACCGACTTGGAGACACGTACAACAAAAGGTACATCATGAGGAAAAATCACCTACAATGTAAACACCACATGTACACCCAGGTTTGTTTATGGTGTAAATCGAGGATTCTCTATTGTTTTCTATTTCCTTTTCCTTTGTTTATACTCCAACTTTTTTGCAACAGCTCTCATTGAATTTGTACACATTTTCTAATCGATGTCGTCCTCGCTTTTGTTGCTGTCGATGATGTTGATGATGTTGCACGTGTGTGTCCTCAAATTAACACCATAAACACGCACATTATAATCAAGATGTGTTTAAAGATCAGTCATTTTAATGCGGCAAACATTGACTACATCTTTTTGAAGATTTTATATTTTTTTAAACAATCTACAACATCGAACATTAATTCAGAGGATTTTGCTGCAGATTTTTCCAAATTTTGTAAAAATGCTGTTTTGCCAAAATGCACCATTATGATGTCATTATTTTGTTACGCTCCGGTCACAACAAAATGTCGTCTCATCATTTTCATTTTGGCATAACTTCAATACTTCTTTTCTTGCAAGTGCATGCTTTCGAGCTTGGAAAAGATATTATCCATTCATTGTTCATCAAACTAGCCATAAATAAGTTCATGGTCTTAACTTCTTTTCCTCGATTCCTGAATAATGGCTCAAAGTACTGCAGGGTCCACGTCCAGAGGCATATATGATGGGCTTTGGGGATGCCCCTCCTACTGTTTGATTTTTCAGCTAATCAATTCAGCATGATGTAAACAAACAGATTGGTTTCCATATTCAGGGACGGAGGAACCGGCGGGCTGCTCCCCCCCCCCCAGCTTTTCCCAGGCCAACAAAAGTGCCCCTCTCGCGGTCATAATGTGCCCCTCAAGCTGAAAACAAAACCGCCCCTCAAACGCACACATGAAAGCATTATGATCGAGCTTAAAAATTGTCTCCTCTCTTGTGCAAAAGTGGCCCTCAAAAACACAAATACCCCTCGCGCATTTACAAAATTGTGAACCTTCTCGAGATAGAAAACTTTCCCCCGAAGGAACAAACACCCCTCCTGCAATAATTAAATTGTGCCGCTCTCGAGATGGGGAATTGGCCATCAAAAACAACAGTGCTCCTCTCGCGATAACTTATCGAGATGGAGAACTGCCCCTCAAAAGCACAATTAGTGCCCTGCTCGCAACATTAAAACTGTGCCCCTCTCAGAATGGAAAACTGACCTGTAAAGAAAGAATAGTGCTCCTCACGCGAATAAAATGGTAACTAAACTGCATGGCCATCAAAAGCTACAGTGCCCCTCTCACGATAAAAAAAGGTCCCTATGCATAACTATTCAAATTCAAGGGCGGACCCAGAGAGATTAATTACTGCCAGGGGTGTTCCGGAGGCCGAAGGGCTCTCTCAAGTGAAAAATATCTTATTCGAGAACAATACGACTATATTGAGACTATTTTAGGAATAATTATACACTGTAATTTTTTGAGTAAGGTAATGAAAATTTTCTTGAAAAAACTTTACGCAAACATTTTAAAAGTGTATTTATCAAATTTTGTTCGGGGTAACATGTATTCCTTGCAATGTGAACGAAAATAGTTTCACAATTGTCTCCTCTTTCACACCGACGGAAGGTGCCTTTTTTCTGAGCAACTCCCCCTTTTTGGTGATCCCCCCCCCCCTCAGTTTGAACAGCGTTCCGCCGCCGCTGTCTCTATAAG